AATAGGCTGGCTGATTAGCTGGGTAGTTTGGAGCAGGGACAGAGTGACAGAATTGTAAGGAGGTGAAAGTAACAGCTGTGTCTAAATTAGGGCCCCATTGATAAACTTGCATTTCCCTTCTTTGAGTCTCCATACTATGTTCTATGTGGTGCTTGATATTCAAGTCTATATGAGACAAATTCAATTAGTCAGATCCTGAATATAAATCATATCCTTAGAGAATCAATGCCAATCTTATTATTACACACACACACACATACACACACACACACACACACACTTTGACCTCTAGCCTCTCATGAATGCACTCACTTGTGTGTGTGTGTGTGTGTGTGTGTGTGTGTGTGTGTGTGTGTGTGTGGTGTGGTGTGTATTCATGAGCGTCTAGAGGTTAACCTTTGATGCAGGACAGTTCTATATTCTGTCAATTATATTTTAAATAAATGCTGATTGACTGGTAGCCAGACAGGAAGTAGAGGTGGGGCAACGAGAACAGGAGTATTCTGGGAAGAAGGAAGGTCTTTCTCCAGTCCTTCCCAGACCACCAAAGAAGCAGAATGTGATCTGCATTGCTAAAAAAGGTACTGAGCCATGTGGCTAACATATACTAGAATAATGGGTTAATATAAGTCATAAATGCTAATATGAAACCTGAGCTAATGGGCCAATCAGTTTATAACTTATGGAGACCTCTGTGTGATTTTCTTTGGGGCTACCGGCTATGGGAACTAGGCAGGACAGAAACCCCAAACAAGCCGACCCTCATGTTACAAACCTTGGGTATGATTTTTCAGGAGCCGTTCGCCTTGCTTTTCATTGGCTCCCTATTAGGTGAGCTGGATGGTCATTGAGCCCCAGAGATCTACCTGTCTCTGCCTCCCCAGTGCTGGGTTTATGCACCCTACAACACCTGACTTGTACTGTGGGCTCTGGGATTCGAACTTGGGTCCTCATATTTGTGTGGCAAACTCTACTGACTGACCCACAGCCCCTGGTAAAAAGAATTTTTATGATCAGATGCATTATTCACTTTGGTTGTAGTTTCCAATTATAATTTCTTTCATGTATATGTCATGTCATAAGTAATGCTGTTCTTATTGTTTCTCATTTTTCCCAGATTGAATCATTTTAAGATTTACTTATCAAGTTGGGAAAATATCACTTGACTATTGCCATTTATATGTTTTTTCTTCTTTCCCAGTAGCCACATTTCAATTCCTCCATTTTTCCATGTTCATGTCTGCCCTCTCCTCCTTCATAGCCCTGCTCGAGATTGTCACTCACCTCGCTAAATGTCCTTACTTTCTTCATCACCAAATCTTAAGTTTTTCCATCTTTTTTGTACCTTTGATTTTTAGTACACTTTTAAATCTGTGAAGATATTTTTCAATGAGCCATTTGGAATGCCTCAGACTTATGTGATACTTACAAGGAATTAAATGTAGAATTCACCTCGACCATGAGAATACTCTATTGTACATCACTCATTCTTCCCAAATACCTGAAAACAAGAACAAAGTAGAGGGCAGTTTTGCTCGTTGAGATGTGGTCATTTAGGAATGACAAGGAATCCTTATTAAATCTGGCCTGGCCTCAGATTCTCCAGCGCGACAGCTTCTAGCATGTGCCACCACCCCTAGTTGGTTTTTCATAATTTAAGAGACACAATGTGTCCAATACTTTAAAGCAGCAAGTTAGGCATCATTTGTACATACATTTTTTTCTGTCCAACAAAATAAAATTTGGACCTGGAGAGCTGACTTAGTGCTAGAGTGGTTACTAGTCTTCTAGAGGACCCAAGTTCAGGTCCCAGCACCCCGAATAAGCCACTCCCAGTATCCTCTAATACAGCCTGGGGACTCTGATGCTCTCTTCTAGCCTCTGCAGACACTGTACTTGTGGACACACGCACATACACGGACGCACATATCCATGAAAACAAAATAAATCTTCTTTAAAAAGAAAAAGATTTCAAACAAGGGGACAAATCAAGGTGCAGCAGTGATGAATCACTTTTCCATCCGCAGCCTTTGATGGCCTGTGACTTCCGCATTACAGCATCCTTCCTGACTAAGGAACCACGGGAGCCAGGCTGATAGGCAGCTTGTTATGCACTGTGTACAGGCAAAAGACCTCCCAGAGGCAGAACCCCGTTAGAGGTCTCCCAAGGGCAAGGATTTCTAGTATCTAGGCAACTTCCTTTTATATCCCATGATAGCTAGGTTTGAGGTCTGGCCCAGCTCTCCCCGCAGAATCCTGCAGAGGATGTGGACCTGGTGGCCGTTTAGCCGACAAGATGTTACAGACAATAGAAATACAGAAGTTTCCAAGCGTTGCTCCTTATGTAGGGATAAGGGGAAGAGTGGCTCTCTGAAGAGATGCCCAGGTGAGTCAAGTCGTTATGAAAGTACTTCTAGCTTGCAAAAGCATGGAACATGTCATGGGTGCTGCACAGACACGGCAAATTGCATGTGTTGCCTTCCCCCTTGAGGATTCCTACCTTCTCCACCCCCAGGGACCTTTTAACAGTTGTAATATAGTTGTTGAAAATTTACTTCATTTTGCTTACTTCTGATTAGTGTGGTTTTTTTTTTTTTTTTTTTTTTTTTTTATGTCACTGGGCTTCCCTCAGGGCCTGTCTAAACTGAAACTGCCTTCCTAGTCCCTTCAGTGTGCGTAGTTCCCCTGGGAGCAACCTAAAAGATCCTCTGTGGTCTATTGGCCTGACTGTGTCAGCTCTTAAGCATTTGCTCAAAGAAGAATCTGGCCCGGCCTCAGGTTTATTCTTAATTGTTCCTTCCAGCTTTCTGTCACTCAGAGATCTGAGCCAGGCAGCCCGGTGGAAAAGGGCCGAAGGCACAGCCCGATGTCAGGCAGACATTCAGTAGCAAAGAAAGCACTGAGCCTTAGGCCAGGCTTCTGGCATACTCTTGCTCTGAAAATTTGATCCCAACTTGGAAAGAAAAAAGACTTGCACCCCCCCCCACACACACACACACCACCGAAGCTGCTGCAAACTTTCTTTTCCAGACCTTTTCTTAATGACTTATTTGTAACAGCTTTGCAGAAGTCTGTAATCTAGTTTTCCAGCAGTGCGGATTAGAAGCAACAGGAAGAGATACTGCAGGCAGGGGAAGGAGGGACAGGACTCAGAGCAACTAATGGGGGCTGTTTCCATTGAAAGCCTGATAACATGGGGGGGGGGCTAGGAAAACAGCATACTATAACATAAAAGAGGGTGTGGTTGTGGTTCCCCGAGCTCTTTGGGTAGGAGTTCAAAAGGGGAAAAAATGTGGGATCCAACAAACATGGAAGTCTCTGCTTTGTGACCTTACTACTTGAAAGGTAGAGGCAGAGGAATTCTGAGTTTGAGGACAGCCTTGATACATTGCAAGACCCTGACTCAAAAAACTCAAACAAACCGACCAAAAAAATTAGAGAGAAAAGAAACATGAAAGGCAGGCAATATAAACACGCACATTTTGTATACTATTAAAATATTGATAAAATTCTCATACTTTTAGTGTTTGGCTGGGATTGTGACTCAGTGGTAGCATACTCCCCTAGCATGCGTGAAGACATGGGTTTGACTGCCAATGTGGCCCCCAAAATAGTGTTCAAAATGTTTTCACTTAACCCAAACGCAAGCATTTCTAAATTTGCTCTAGCTCATCTGGGCTTCAATTCTAGAGTTTACTGTAATGGGAGTATGGTGCTTTCCGTTGGAAGACCGTGAAGCCTGAGATTGGTGAGAGTGATTCAGATCGGATCTGCACACAAGAGTCATGCACTCTCTGATCTGTCATCCATAGAGGGGCTATATTTTGGATTTTGTCATGGACCCCGTCAATCACTCCTAGGCTTTTCCTCATCCCCAGCTTTGGCCCCAGGAGCTACCTCTGTGGAAGCCTGAGCTGTGGAGCTGGAGGCCCCTAACAGGACATGACCAATCCTCGCGCATGTCCCTGCCAGGTCGTCGTGGTGTTTACGGTACTCATGGCCTGATCTATCCCGTTTGTCAGTGCCTCTGAGTCAGAAGCCTAAGCAAGGGACACACACTGCTGCTCAGTCGACTCTTATTTCCTCTCCTATTCACACGGCCATGAGCTCTGTTGCCAGCTTCTGTGAGCTGGCTGGCCCTGGGTGCGAGACAAATGCTGCTTCGGCCAGAACTTTGGGCTGCTGTCACATGCATTCGCAATTACCTTACTTCACTTGCTGGCCATTAACAGTCTGGCCACGTTACCACTGCCAGCAAGGTCCGCTTTCTTCACTGTGCTCACTGGCCTCCTACCTCTACCTCGTGACAAAGAGTATGACTGACTTGGCTCAAGGCAAAGAAGCATTGAGGCTGCAGAGCCCCTAAGGCAGCCAGAAACATGTCTCACTCAGCCCGTGCCATTTTAATTCCTTTGCTCAGCCTTCTGCTACGCTTCCCTTGTCTAGTCCTGACCGCTCGCCACTGAGAGATGGTTTCTGATTAGAAAATTCTCTGTATCCAACATTCTTCAAGGAGGCTTCTTAAAGATGCAGAGCAACTATGTGCAGGACGAAGGTAGTGTAGAGAGCTAACTGGTGATCAAGAAATCTGGGCTCTGCCCCTGCATCAGCTGAGCAGTGCTGTGTGATTCTGGACAAATCTCTTATTCATCTGCCCGTGGGATGGGCAGAGATGAGTGTGCTCTGAGGTCTAAGCAGTAAGCCTTCCATTTTGATCACCTGTTTTCTAGAATGTACTCCTTTTCTCTCTCTGTCTGTGCCTCTTTGCAACTGAACCTCTCTGTTCCAGAAATAGTTACTTTGTTTGTTTGGAAGCTACTCTGGGAATATGGGAAGATTTGGAATCCTAAGAGTTTTCTTACTTCTGGAATAATATAAAATATTTTGGAATTTGGTATCTGTGGGGTTTTATTTTGGAGTTGACATATGGAATAATAAAGTTACTGCAGTTCCATCTGGAATTTTAAACAGCACGTCACAGGGAGACCATCCAAGTTTACCGTCACTAGTGCAGAGAGATTGGCGAGAAGACCTTTCCATTCGCTCTCCAGCAAGTGTCCTGGCTGGGAGCAGGGAATGTGCTCTTCCTCCCTTAGCCCTGTCCAGAAAAAGCAGGGGACAGATCGAAAAGGACGTGCCAGTGGACTTGGACAAAGCTCCCGGGTAGTGGCAGACCAGTAAATGTCCACTGTGTGGCAAAGGGAGTCAGCCGTTGTGGAGCAGAGAGACTCGGAGGACAGTGTTCTCTGAAGAAACCCTGTCTATTCCTGCCTTCCAGCCTATACGGACTTGTTTGCTCTGGTTGGCAAGCCTTCTTTCTCCTCTGATTCAGAATCCTCCCACTCTGACTGGCTCTGCGTCTTCTGCTAAGTTCCGCAATCTAGCAAAACAGCACCATCTCCTCTTCCTTCTCCTCTTCCTCTTTTTTTTTAGTTTTGGAGAACCACTCAGTTATTCAGCTCTCTTTTAGGTATACAAAAAGTACTGCATGTTCAGTGTCTACCCTCTGGCTGGCCGTACTATATTGGCTCCGTGACTCCATCTTGATCCTTTCTTTGCCTCAGCTACAGTGAAGCTCTGAGGAGTGAGCAACTGTTTTCTGGACTCTCCGATCACCACCAGTCGTCTCAAGAACGGGCTCTGCTCCCAGTCTGTAAAGTTTAGAACAGTACAGGCTTCAGAGAAAGGGCAGCAGGAAAATGTATGTGCTGGATAGGGACAAGACTCCAAGTCTTATCTGGGGCCACCCAAGAGCAACTAAGTTATTAGGACACGTTCTCAGGAAAGTCTGGTCCTATGCCAGTTTAGGAGCCCTTTCCAGAATGAACCTCAGGACCCCAACATGAAAGCCGGGTGGGTACTTCTGAATCTTACTAAACAGCCCCAGGAAGTCCTGATAAGCTAGTGGAGCATGCTTTCTTGCTCTAGATCAAACATCAGGACGGCAACAATTAATTAATGGCATGAAGATCGTGCAGTGGGCTGGATTCCCAAGGATTAACTTGGAACACTCATAAATCTGTAACTCTAGTTCATGAAGGACTGGTCAACCAGGCTTCATGGATTAACCCTTTCAACAAAACTCTGAAAATGCTTCCCGCTTCCCAGAGTCCTTAGCATGGGATAATGCAAGACCTTGGCCTGTGCGCCAATGCTCAAGACTCACTTGTAGTTTGCTTCCCATGTCCGGTCTTCGTAAACATCTTGACCCCTTGCATTGTTCTAATCTAAGCATGTATTGTCCTTCTCCACATTTACCTGGCTCTCCTCTGCCTCAGTCATGGCCAGCAGCATTTATTCTGTTGCTCAGGCTGAGATCTGGCAGGTGTTATTCATCTTTCTCTTTTTCCTTACCTCACGCAGTCAAAAGGCATGGCACAGAGGCCTGTATCCAATGTGATCTTCCCACACTCTCCCACCTCCGCCATCTTTCCTCTGCCCTCCTTGCCTCCTGAGTGTTCTGTTTGTCTTCCCCACTCGTCGTCTGGAAGGACCTTTCACAATGCTTGTGAGAGTGTGTCGTCTCTAGGTGTTCCTCACCTTGTATGGCTTCTGGAGCACGCTTGGAATAAAATGGAAGCATTTACTCTCCTGTTTATGTTGTACCTCCAGACCTAGCGAATCCGTTCTTCTTCTTGTGTGGTATTTCTTCTTCCAGGGGTGTTCTTCAGGGAACTCCTAAAGTGCTTAGATTCTCCCCCTGCTCTTAAGTTTTATTTCCTCCAGCAGATAGTTAATAATTCTTTTAGCTACTTAAAAATAGCAGGCTGCTCTCTGTCCCTAAAGGTTTATTTAAACTCTTTGCTGAAGAAGTTGCTGAAGACCAAAATAAATAAATAATAAACAAACAAATAAATGACGAGAAAAAATCTTTTTTCCCAGAAGCCAACTTAGGGCATGTCAGTATGCTAGACAACAGCAAGCACCAGGAAGCAGAAGGGCCACCTAGAGCAGGAAGAATTTAGATGGCCAACTTTCACTGCGGCAGCATTTGCCAGGGTTGATATGAGGGGGACTCTTAGAAGGGACATCCTAGCGACTTAGAAATTCCAATTGGAAGGCAAGAATTAAGGACGGCTGCTGTCTTCTCCGGAGGACTGACAGGCTCCAGGCATTACATGCAGAATTTTGGGCCTTTTCTGGTCTCTCTGGAACCTGCAGGTTTAAGGGGATTTTGCTCTTGTTTTTTTTTTCCCTTTCTTTTGTTCTCTCCGTGTCAAGCTGACTCAAGTTGGAGTGCTCTGCAAAGAGGGATCCTCAGCTGAAGAACTGCCTCCATTAGATTTACCTATGAGCAAGTTTGTGGGAGTATTTTTCTAATTAATGATCGAAATGGGAGGCACCAGTCCACTCGTGATGGCGCCACCCCTGGGAAAGTGGCCTTGGGGTAGATAACAAACCAAACTTAGCAAGCAAGTAGCGTTCTTTCATGCTCTGCTCCAGATTCCTGCCTTGACTTCATGCCCTGGCTTCATAGATGCTGGACTGCACGCAATAAGCTGAAATAAATCCTTTCCTCCCTCCAGCAGGTTGTTTATGTCATGGTGTTTTCCTCAGCATTAGAAAGCAAGCTATGACAGAGATCTATAGGTCTTGGGGTGTCTAATATTGTCCCTCGAGTATTTTTCTACTTAAAAAAAAAACAGAATTGATTCTGTGGTTTGCAACCAAAACCTTTGACCTATTCAATAGGCAGTAAAGAAGGTTGAAATCCATAATTCAGAGGTGCCCATTCGTTTGGCTCTGGACCTGACATTGAAGCTTGAATGTCAAGTTTTATCATCCTGAGCTGGGAGGCACTGTTCCCCATTATTTTTGGTGAATTGTTTTGTTGCATTTTCTTGCAACAGAAGTTTTCGATGTACTTTAGCTGGCCTTGATTTTGCTACATAATCCAGTCGAGCCTTGAACTTGTAGTGCTCTTACTTCAGCCTTCCAAGCGCTGGAATTCCAGGCAAGTGCCAACATGCCTGGTTGGAAACATGCTTAAAACATGGAGCTAACACATCTAACAAGCCAAAGCAACTTGACAAGTTGTAGGTATAGTAATATCGTCACATGTGTGGGAAACATTATGTGAATGTATGGTTCTGGGAATCTATAAAGGTTCATATTGAAAAATGAGCATTCAAAGGCATTTCTTTATTTGGTTTTGTGTTATTGCAGTGTGTGAATTTAATTCCAACACCCAGGAGGCAAAGGCAACTAGGTATCTCTGAGTTCAAGGCCAGCCGGGATGACCTAGTGAGTTTGAGGCCAGCCAGGACTACACAGTGAGTGAGACCCTGTCTAAAAATTGAAAATAAAAGCAGGTAAACAAAGAAACAAACAAAAACCAAAAACCAATCCCCTCTCCCCACAAAACTCAAAACCAAAACACCAACAACAATTCTTCCTCTCTCATGATTATATCTCTTCACACATTATTTCTTGACTAAGATGATAACCAGAAAGACATTTATAATTCTCAGCTAAGTTACATAAATTTTATAGGCTATGTTCTATAGTCAAAAATGGCAAAAATAGCTATATTAGCTATTCAGATAAGAATTTGTCTTATGGAAATGTGTCCTGTCTGGTTAACTTAGAATTCTTGAAGGCTTCCTTATGAACCTGTGTGAGCATGGACTTCCTGAGAAGTTCAGCAGACAGCTGTCTGTGGATGGGCAGCATCTTCTGCAGAAAGGATCATCCAAAGGAGATCCAGACACCATTTTTGTCTTTCACCTCGACAGACATTCTTTATTCCATTATGACTTTAGTACAATTTTATTCTTGTGTGAGGTCTGTGGGCATGGGCTTGTACTCATGCCACAGTGGGTTTATGGGGGTCAGAGAAAAACTTGCAGAGGTCAGTTTTCTCTCCACCATGTGGGTCCTGGGGATTGAACTCAGGTCGTCAGGCTTGCAGCAGTTGCCTTTACCCTTTGAGCCATGTCACCAGACCCTTGCGGAAACATTTTTAAAAGGACTATTATTCACTTTCTGTGAAAGTCTGGAGGAACTGATATTTAACACCCTATAAGAAGAAACTTAAGGGAGTACAAGCTTTTTGTATGTGTGTATGTTTGTATATTTGTGGATGTGATGTGGGATTCTCCTCTGTATGCTTTATTTAATACGTTTTATTACCATTGGTTAATAAAAAAGCTACTTTCACCTATGGCAGGGAAAAACAAACCTAGGTGGGAAAACTAAACTGAATGGATGGAGAAAGAAGACAGGAGTCAGGCAGACGCCATGTAGCTGCCAAAGGAGAAAGATGCTGGAATCTTACCAGTAGACCACAGCCTTGTAGTGATACATAGATTAATAGAAATGAGCTAAATTAAGATGTAAGAGCTAGCTAGGAATATGCCTAAGCTATTGGCCAAACAGTGTTGCAATTAATATATTTTCTGTGTGATTATTTGGGTCTGGGAACCTGGAAACCTAAGTGCAGTCTCCATTTGCATGGGTGCTCATATGTGTAAGGGTTCACATGTATGCACATGCATATGGAGGTCCAAGATCAACATTAGATGTCATTTCTCAGGAGTCATCTAGTGTGTGTGTGTGTGTGTGTGTGTGTGTGTGTGTGTGTGTGTGTGTGTGTGAGAGAGAGAGAGAGAGAGAGAGAGAGAGAGAGAGAGAGAGAGAGAGAGAGCATATTTTGGGAATTGAACACAGGTCCCTATGTTTGCACTCTACTGAGATGTCCCCGTAGCCCTAAATACAAGCTTTCTGAAAGCCATTTTGATTTTATTTATATATATTTTTTAACAGTGCTGAAGTTTGAACCCTGTGTCTTCCGTATGCTGAACAAATACTCTACCCCTGAGTTACCTCTTTAGCCCCCGGAAAGCCATTTTGTTATACAGAAAATGAACCTAACACATTCATATTATTTTACCCAGCAAACTCAGCTGTAGGACATTTATGTTAAGGAAATAATTAATGGTATACAAGAACATCTATGTATAAGGCTGCTCTAAGCAGGAGTTTTATAACAGTAAAATCTTGGAAAGAGTGTATATATTTAACACCAGGGAAATAGTAGAAAATAACATGTTATGCAGCCATCCATGTGGATATTTTGAGAATATGCACATAGTAATGACATTGTGTTGAAGGCTAAATGTTTTCATTACCATCTCCCGGTGTCTCAAAGTCTTCCCACAAATTCTTATTCCTTTGTGTGTGTGTGCACATATATGTATACGGTGTATGCACACATGTATGGGCAAGTGTAGTAGGAGCTTCGGTGGGCTGCATTCCCACCCAGCTCTGCATGGCTAGCTTTACCCGAAATAATTACATGGAAACTGTATTCTTTTAAACACTGCCTGGCCCATTAGTTCCAGCCTCTTATTGGCTAATTCTCACATCTCCATTAACCCATTTTTAATAACCTGTGTATAGCCCCACGAGGTGACTTACCAGGGAAGATCTTGACCTCCGTCTGTGTCAGGTGGGAGAATCATGGTGACTGCCTGACTCGGCTTCTTTCTCCCAGCATTCTGTTCTGTTTACTCCACCTACCTAATTTCTGCCCTATCAGGCCAAGCAGTTTCTTTATTAATTAACCAATGAAAGCATCAAATAGACAGATGACCCTCCTCCATCAGGCAAGTACCCGTGCAAAATGTAGAGCCCAGAAAAGGGTGCCCGGTGTCTGTTCTATCACTACCCACCTTATCCCTTTGAGACACTAAACCTGGAGTTGCATTGGCAGTCAGAGTGACCCAGTGGTTCTCCTGTCTTCAGCCTCTTCCCCAGCACTGGGTTTATAGGTTTGTAGGCAGCAATCACTGGCCTTTTAGGTGGGTGTTTTGGATTCGAACTCAAGTCCTGTTGCGAGAGGAGCAAGTGCTCCTACCTACTGAGACATCGCACCAGCCACCAGTGTTGAATACCTTAAGGCAAATACTATGTTTTTATATTGCCTTAGTTTTTAAAAATATATGTTGTTCTTCGAGAGTTTTCTATGGTGTGATTTGGTCATTACTCCCTTTCCATCCTACAGTTCCTCCAAATCTACCCCTTCCCTTCCCACCCAACTTTGCATCCTGTTTTCTCCATCAGGGCAAATGTGTGCTGTGCAAGTATTCTTCTACCAGAACAGGCTTGATTTATCAGGGCCTATTTCTTAGAGAAAACTGATTCTTCCTTTCCCGATACCTGAGAGCTGCCCATAGCAAGATATGCTGACTTGTGGGAAAAGGTTCAGGGATGAGAACAGGATCAAAGATCTTGAAACAAGAAAAGTAAAATTGTTTCCTAGGGCTTGGCCTTCCCTACACAGAGAACAGTTCGTTTTTGTCCTAAGAGTACGGGCTCCTGCTGAAAGTGACTACTTTCTTTTTGATGTTCACTTCTCAGAAAATAAGGGCCCGGAGGTGGGGAATGGTATGTGAACTAGAGGCAAGAATTCCCTACTACAAGTACC